GGGTGGCACCCGCGCCAGGTCCGGGGGTCCGGGGGTCTCCTCTCAAACCTCTCTCTGCCCCGGCAGGGCGGACACTGCCCTGGTCGATGTCAGCACGGCCCTGGAGACCGAGTCAGCCAACGGCAAAGATCCCCTGGTAGGTTCCTTCAGGGACTGTTGTGGAAGTTCGGTCCTCACTATCTGACTCATCTTGAGGAGCTGAGGTACAGAGCAGTCCCAGCACACTCAGAGCACCAGTGCTGGGGTAGAGGATTGATTCCCTGCAAACGCTCTGCCAGGGCAGGTTCCTGCAGGGAAAGGAAGGGGCAGGGTCTGAGTCCTGCTCTGTTCTGCTCTGCTCTGCTCTGGGGGCAGCACACACAGGCCATGTGTGGCACCTAGGCAGTGTTAGTCCCTGCTCTGCTCTGGTTTCAGAACACTCAGGCAGTGTCTGACTCCCTGTGGCTCTGTCCTAGGTGCAGCACATCCAGGCAGAGTGTGATACCCAGTGCTCTGTGCTTCAGCACACCCAGACAGAGTCCCAGTCCCTGCTCTCTGTTTCAGGACGCTGCTGGGGATGGTGCTGAGGCCCTGGATGCCCAGGGGGGCTCGGGGGATGAGGAGAACACACGGCAGCTGGGAGAGATCGAGCTGCAGTGTGGGATCTGTACCAAGTGGTTCACTGCAGACACCTTTGGCATCGACACCACGTACGTGAGCGTTGGCCGAGGAGCTTGAGGGGCACAGGGAGGGTTTGCAGTGTGAGTTCCCAAGGACTAGAGCCACATCCCTGTCCTCAGACACTTGGAAACTGTGTGTTGTGTAAATAACTAAAGCTTTGTCCATGATAGAAACGTCCCGTGGATCACAGTGAGCTTGTCAGGTGTCTCTGGGTTTAGGGAGGGAATATTCATTTTTAACCTGGAATAGTTAATTTTTTAACCCAGTGTAGGAAAGAGTAAATTTTTTTCCAAACCAGGACAGACATTGAGGGGCTGGAGGTGTCCAGGGAAGGGAACAGAACTGAGGAAGGGGTGGAGCAGGTGAGGGAGCTGTGGGTCTCAGCCTAGAGAAAGAAGAGGCTCAGGGAGGACCTTCTGCTCTCTGCAACTCCCTGACAAGAGGTGCAGCCAGGTGGGGTCAAGGGAATAAATGACAGGATGAGAGGATACAGCCTCAAGGGGAGGGTCAGCTTGGACATCAGAAGAAATTTCCCCATGGAAAGGGCTGTCAGGCATGGGGATGCTGCCCAGGGAGTTGGTGGAGTCATCCCCCCTGGAGGTGTTCAAGGACGTTGCACTCAGTTCTCTTCTCTAGTTGACAAGGTGGTGATGGTCACAGGTTGGACCTGATGGTCTTGGAGGGCTTTTCCAGCCTCACTGATTCCATGGCTGTGATTCTCGAACTTGATGTAGTAGCTGTGCTGTTCCCAGCCCTGACAAACCTTCTCTTCCCAGGTCCTGTCTGCCCTTCATGACCAACTACAGCTTCCACTGCAATGTGTGCCACCACAGCGGGAACACCTACTTCCTGAGGAAACAAGCAAGTGAGGGAGCAGCTCACTGGGACTGGGGATCTTTGGGGGTGTTCTGTGCAGATTTTGTCTTGCCTGGAGTGAGGGGAGAATCTGCTGAGGCTTCTGAACAATGACCACAAAATTCACAGTAGCCAGAAGCATCTGTGGCCTCTCTCTAAAAACGTGTTGCTGTTTTGATACTGATTTACGAAGCCATTGGAAATGTGCTCAGTGAGGGCTGAGCCAGGACAGGGTTTGGAAGGCTCTGCTGGGGGTCAGTGATTGTTGGGTACGTCTGTCTGATCCTCCCCACTGAGTGTGAGTGTAGCCCTGGGGTGTTTTGTGTTCCAGATCTGAAGGAAATGTGCCTTAGTGCTCTGGCGAACCTCACGTGGCAGTCGAGGACACAGGATGAACACCCCAAAACGATGTTCTCCAAGGATAAGGTTTGGCTGTTAGGGAACCGCAGTGAGTTTGGGTCAGGGATGGTGTCAGAGAAGTAGCTCAGACCGATGCTTTCTGGTTTTACAGGACATTATCCCATTTATTGATAAATACTGGGAGTGTATGACCACACGGCAGAGGCCCGGGAAAATGACTTGGCCCAATAACATTGTGAAAACCATGGTAAGATTTGGGGAAAAGCCCTGGAGGGTGTTCTATGGTTGTCTGACATTGGTGTGTGCTGAGGGCTGGGCTTGGAGCAGAAGGGTGAGGATGCTCATGGTTCTTTGGCAGCTGCTATGGACCTACCACGTGTTACTGTGATGTAAACACTTGTTAATGAACTTGCTGTGACCTGACCCTGTGTGACCTGATCTCCTGTGTTTCAGTGTAAGGAGAGAGATGTGTTCCTGGTGAAAGAGCATCCAGACCCAGGCAGTAAAGACCCAGAAGAAGACTATCCCAAATTCGGACTTCTAGACCAAGTATGTGATGAGAGGAAAGTTGGGAGGAGGAGCGGGGGATCCTCCTGATGCCTTCAAGGGACAGCACTGCCCTGCGCCTGTTTGGTGGCTCTGGGAATGCACCTGGGAGTGTTCTGCTCAGACTCCTGAGTGGAACAGCTGGCCAAGTCACACGTCTGTACACCAGGCTGTTTGATCTCTTGCAGGACCTTGCCAATATTGGCCCTGCCTACGACAACCAGAAGCAGAACAACGCTGTGTCCACGAGCGGGAGCTTAAACGGCAAGTTCTGCACAGGGGATGATGGGGTACTTGGGAATAAGTTGCATTTCCCAGGCCTTTGGGCATCTGTGCAGTTAAACTGTCATGTGAACTGACCTCATGCTTATGCTCAGAACAGTCTCACTGTGCCTTTTTATAGAGAGATTAACTTTACTTGTTGGGAAGGTTCAGCTGTTTCTTCAGAGTGACCAGATAAACCGAGGTGCTGCCAGGAAGCTGAGCTTGGCACTTTGTTCCATAATGGCCTTAATTTACCTCCTTGTGCATTCAGGTCTCCTGCCTCCTGCCTCAGAGAGCTGAGAGTAGCTGGGGAAGGTGCAAAGATATTTATACACTGTTCCCTGTGCTCACTGCTCATGCTTTGCCGTGCCTCCCTGTGGCAGATGGCACTGGTGCTCTCAGCTGTCTCTGCAGTACCTTAACTGCTGATGAGTTTTAATTAATAATCTGTCTCAAACACATCTAGCAGTACAGACAGGAGGTGTTTGGGGCTCTTTAGGGCAGGGTTATAGGTATCTCAGATGTGTTGTCTCCGTGTCATGCTCTGGCTGTTTTATATTTTGTTTCGGGGACACTGACAAACATGTGGTGCCACTTCTGTTCTTGCAGGTGGAGCCTCTCTGGGAGGTGAATATTTACCTTTCAGCTTCTAAAACTTAAGTATTGCTGTTTGCAAAGCTTTTGTTTTCGCTCGATTCTCCTAGAAGCCAAACTCAATTACAAACTGAAGTGTGCCCTGATGTGATTGCAGTCCTACTTAATGCAAACCAGCAATTCCACTCTTTAATCTTTAGCATTAGAAGCTTTTGCTTCCCATATTCTGCCCTACTTGACTGGTTTAAAGGCCTTATTTATTTATTTTACTTATGTTTATTTTCACTCTGTATCAATTGACCTGATGTTGCAGTTTTGTTGCCTAAATAATTGCTCTGAAACTTACGCTGTGATGGTTTGGGCAAGTGAATGTTGCCAAACTGAAGAGGCTGAATGTTTACCTGCACTAAAACCAGTGAGTGCAGCTGGATCAGGTCATGTTTGTGCAGAATATGGTGTTCCCTGGATGGTTTGGGTCCCTTACTCTGTAAGGGGAATGCTGCTCATGGAAAAGCTGACTGGATTTTTAGTTACCACACAAATGCTCTTCGTGAAGGTGTTTATCTACAGTACATGAAATTTCCATAGTTTTCCATTTAAAACAGGAGCGATCTCTTTGGAAGTAGTGTGATGATAAGCTGAATATACAGTTTAACTCATTCATACATTGTGCTGATCTGAGCTGGATTGAATTTGAGTTGTAGCTTTTGCTGTGCTACTGTTTTAGGAGTTAAACATCAGTGCAGAGTTCAGACTGATTCACTGTTCAATCACAGAGCTGACTTTGGTAATACTGAAGAGAAACACCTCTTGCTTTTGATTTTTCCTCAGTTTAGGTGCATTTTATTTAGTAGCTGGGAATTGCACATTAAGAGCTTATTGCTGGTGGGTGTCGGTGTTGCCCAGCACAGTCCCTGGGAACACAGCAGTGCCCTGGGTTGGGTTTGTGCTGCTGCTGCTGCAGAAAGAGATTTGAGCTCTGATTGGAATCTCCATGAAAGCTAATGCTAATGGTGATGATGATGATGCCTCTGAGGTGGGTCTCAGTGCTGCTGCCTGTAGATCTTCTGGTGACACAAAAGATTCTTAATTCTCACCATAAAAGCTGGAGTTGAGCTAATTGTGCTGCTCAGTGTCCCTTGGCTTCTGCTCCAAATCCAGATGCCACAAAAGCTAACCAGAAGCCACATGAAAGTTGTGCATTTTCCTGTGCTCGTTGGCACTAAAGTCCAGTTCACATTCACTGTGGACAAAGACACCTGAACCCACGAGTGACTTCAGTTTAGCTGCTCGTGCCCCCCTGTCCCTGGAGGTTCCTGACCCCATGCTGCTCTGTGTGTCCAGGGGGAATGGCTGCCGGGGGCAGCGGGAAGGGACGCGGAGCCAAGCGCAAGCAGCAGGACGGAGGGACCGCAGGGACAGCCAAGAAAACCCGGAGGTGAGAGGGCACGGGATGGGCAGAGGCGGCGAGGGGTGGGCATGGCTCAGGGCAGCAGCACCAGAGGTGCTCTGAGCTGTCTCTGCCCTGGGTGGGGTTGGGGGAGTCACTGCAGAGCTCTGATGTTAGCCATCAGTCAGGCTGGGAGTCAGTTGTGCTCGCTGTGGGTGAGTGTGTGCTCACTGAGTGTTACGCTCTAGGAGTAGGTGAGTGTGTGCTCACTGTGGGTGAGTGTGCACTCACTGTGAGTGTTATGCTCTAGGAGTAGATGTGCTCACTGAGTGTTACGCTCTAGGAGTAGGTGAGTGTGTGCTCACTGTGTAGGTGAGTGTGTGCTCACTGTGGGTGAGTGTGCCCTCAGTGTTACGTTCTAGGAGTAGGTGAGTGTGTGCTCACTGTGTAGGTGAGTGTGTGCTCACTGTGGGTGAGTGTGCACTCACTGAGTGTTATGTTCTAGGAGTAGGTGAGTGTGTGCTCACTGTGGGTGAGTGTGAGCTCACTGTGAGTGAGTGTGAGCTCATTTTGCACAGACACTCCCCTCCGAGCACAGGGACAGCTCTGCAGGGCTGTCCCTGCCCTGGGCCTGCCCTCAGCCCCCGGGGGATGCCAGCCTGGAGTTTTTCCTTCCCAGTGACCCGTTGTTCTCGGCCCAGCGCCTGCCGCCCCACGGATACCCTTTGGAGCATCCCTTCAACAAGGATGGGTATCGCTACATCCTGGCCGAGCCTGACCCGCACGCGCCCGACCCGGAGAAGCTGGAGCTGGACTGCTGGGCAGGAAAACCCATTCCTGGGGACCTGTACAGGGCCTGCCTGTACGAGCGAGTCCTGCTGGCCCTGCACGACCGAGGTACGGTCGGTGTGTGCGGGTTGTGTTTCCATACGGGATAACCTCCTGGCGCCGGGTCGGTGGCGGCTCAGGTGCAACTGCTCCCAGAGGTGCAGGTGTTAAATCCACCTCTGCCTTCACTTGCCTTTTGACATCACCACGTCATAGATCACAAAGAACTGCTTGTGTCCCCTCCTGCAGCTCCTCAGCTGAAGATCTCTGATGACAGGCTGACGGTGATCGGCGAGAAGGGCTACTCCATGGTGCGAGCCTCGCACGGCGTGCGGAAGGGAGCCTGGTACTTCGAGATCTCCATGGACGAGATGCCTCCAGACACAGCTGCCAGACTGGGCTGGTCACAGCCCCTGGGTAAATAGTTAGCAAATAGGGCTTAGCGGGTGCTGCTTCTGCACTCTGCGTGTTCACCAAGAAGTGTTTGTTTCCACAGGGAACCTCCAGGCCCCTCTGGGTTATGACAAGTTCAGTTACTCCTGGCGCAGCAAAAAGGGAACCAAGTTTCACCAGTCCATAGGGAAACACTATTCATCTGGCTACGGGCAGGGTGATGTCCTGGGATTTTACATCAGCCTTCCAGAGGATACTGAGACAGCCAAATCCCTGCCTGACACCTACAAGGACAAGGTGAGGTGTGAGTTCACTGTCAGATTAAGCCTTGGCAGGTGGATAAGTGGAAAACATGTTGCTCTGGCCTCACTCCTGCCCCTTTCCATGCGTCCTTCCCATCCTGCCTCTGCGTACCTCCATGGCTCAGAGCAGAGTAGTCCAAAGTGTTGATCTCACGATGGGATTGCCCACATCTCCCTTCATCCTCCCCTCCTGGCTCTCAAATATTGGAGCTGTGGGAATCACTCTTCACAGGTACTCTGGCCCCGGACACACCTGTCCCTTAGCAGGGCAGGTGACAGGGTGACAGTTTTTCGTGCTTGCTTTTGACATTGTTTGCTGCTGTTTCAGGCTCTGATCAAATTCAAAAGCTACTTGTACTTTGAAGAGAAGGACTTTGTGGACAAAGCTGAGAAGAGCCTAAAGCAAGCACCTGGGAGTCAGGTGAGTCGCTGCTGTCCCTTTAGGCAGCGCCTGGCTCAGGTGCAGGGGAGCAGGGGTGAACCCTGGGAATGTGGCTGTGTCTTGACAGCCACCACCAATGGCAAACCCCTTCATTTTCAGATCATATTCTTCAAGAATGGTGTCAGCCAAGGAGTTGCCTTTAAGGACATCTTTGAAGGGGTTTATTTTCCTGCCATTTCCTTGTACAAAGGCTGCACAGTAAGTGAGGTGTCTTGGAAAGAGAATTCCTAAATCCATCATGGGTTTAGTAATGCATGGAGCGTGGGCACTCTGGGAGCATTCCATGAGGAGGGGAAAGATGGGAATTATTTTAGGGAAGTGCCTCTGGAGTGATGCTGTTGGTCACATCACATTACTGAAGGAACACGCTCCTTCCATGCCAGTAGTGTTTGTTCCTGTGGGCCTGCACAGGGTGCAGGTAGGATCAGGAGTAAGAGGGGATAAGGACTAAAGAAATTTGCCTGCTTTTTTAGATCTAATGAAAATGTGTCTTCCTCAGGTGTCTATCAACTTTGGGCCATATTTCAAGTATCCACCCAGGGACATCACTTACCACCCTGTAAGTAAAGCCTTTCCCCCCATCTGAGCCTCAGTGTATAAACAGAAGGTGTTTTGGTGTGCTCCACACCACACCTGTACCTGTCCTTGCTAGCCTCTGTACCTGGATAGTGTAGCTAAAAGGATTGTGTTTCAGAGCATTGAAGGAGAAATAGCTCAAAAAGTAGTTTAATTACATTTTTTATTGAACAGTAGATGTGCTATTGTTCCTCTTGACATCTCATCTCATCCTCTTCCTCCTTCCTGTTGCCTGTGTCAGCCTCTTTTATCAGTAAGAGACCTGAATTGCTGTTTAAGGAAGCACATGGAACTTTTTTTCCCTCACTAATGTGTTCAGGGGAGAAACAGCCCTGGAATGCTGTCGCTGTGTCCATGGCTGGAGCTAACTGTCCTTCCCCCTGCAGATGAGTGACATGGGCTGGGGCGCCGTGGTGGAGCACACGCTGGCAGATGTCCTGTACCACGTGGAGACAGAGGTGGATGGGAGGAGGAGCCCACCCTGGGAGCCATAGCCCCCTCCCGGTGGGCTCCGCTCACGCGGATTCAGCGCAGAGGAGCATCCACCGCTCCGTGATCAGCCGACCACCCAACGGGCCGAGGCCAGCGCAGCCCTGGCTGGCAGGTGTTGTGTATGTCTGTTAGCTGCTGAAGGTTCACACCCTCCCCACGGCTGGAGTGTGACTCAGGCAGCTTGGGCTGTTTTGTGCTATTTTGGGGCATCACTCGGAGCCTTCAGTACTGTTACAGTGTCACTCGCTGGAGACGGAGGTGCTGAGGGACCTTCTGGGCTGTAACTGTCCTGAGAACAGGTTGTAGCTGGACCTGCCAGGTGCAGGTACATGGACACCTGTGCTCAGGTGTGTTTGGTTGTAACCCACAGCTCCCAGCCAGGACAGCTCTGTTGGAACGCCACGGCTGCATGTAAGACTGAAATTTGGGCTTCTGTCCAAACTGTATTTTTCCCCCCCCACAAACTGGAAACCAGTTTGAAAATAAAGGCTTTAACTCTTCTTTTTATTCCGTTTTGTCTTGTGAATTGTTACAAGTGAGATTTAAACTCAAAGTAGCTACACTTGGAGATCCCTTGAGCTGAAGATCTCCTACTCACAGGAGTTGCACGGAGCCTCCTGCCAATGATCGTCACTCCAGAGCTCTGGATGAATAAATAATGTGACACTTTGTGTGTGTCTATACAAGAAAAATAAATTAGAGCTGCTTCAGCAGGGGGAGAGGGAATAAAACAGTTAAGTGCTGGGTTTGAGGGTTGGGGGAGTAAAATTTGAGGTTCAGTCAGGTGTGGGTATGCCTCACTGAGGATGTCCTTCCCCAGTCATGTGTCTAGGCCTCATGAATAACTAATTAGCCAAGGCCTTTAATTGTAGACATCACTAATTACAGCTTTATTTATTCATAGAAAGTACTTAGGGAGGGTGGAGGTGCCTGGCTGGGCCAACACATGCTCAGTGGAGCAAATGCAGGACTTAACTAAATTTTCAGTCCTACATTTGCATAACAAGTTTCATTAAATAAACCCTTATATTTATTGATTGAAACCATGTATTAACGAGTGGTGCCTGCTGTTAAAGGCCTTGGCTACCTAGAGTGACAGAATTCCCTGCTTTGGCCCCAAACAAAGCCCTGCACAGGGTGGTCAGCAGGTCCTGGTCAGCAGGTCACGGGCACTGTCTGGGCCAGGCGCTGCCGGAGGTGGTTGGCGAAGTCCACCTGTGTCTGGGACAGGACCTGGTTGATGATGGTCTTGGGCAGCCAACCCTGGAGAGGAGCAGACACAGGCTGTGAGCAGAACCTGCCTCCACACAGCCCCTTCCTCCCCCAGGCATGTGCCCAGCCCCACGTACCTTGAGATCGATGCTGAGCAGCCAGGTGAGCCTGGTCTGGCCGGGGCTGCCAGGCAGTGGGCGCAGGACCATGCAGGTAGGACCATTCTCAGCCCTGCCAGGAGAAGAGGGCCTAGGTCAGACCCAGACTCTGACTTTGAGCCCCACTAAAAGTGATTTGTGGGTTTCCTCAGCAGCTCCTGCTGCCCACACAAACCCAACGACTTCAAGTCCATACTAAATCCCTTCCCACCTGTGGGGCTCTCCCCCTTGCTCACCCTGTAAGAGGCTGGAACAGGTGCTCACCTTACAAACCCTTCCTGCTCTGGCATCGCTCCGTGTGTGGTGGCCATGCCAGCCAGGACGCAGGTGGAGCCACGTCTCTTGGAGCACCGAACGCTCACGAAGTCTCGCGGCCCAACCATGTTCCCAGGGGTTGCTGCTGCCTTCTCGTGGGTGATCACTGTGTCCTTCCCAATCTTCTCCAGGATCTGCAGTTCAGAATTAAAGGGTTAATTCCAGGTGTTTGCTGCTGGCTCTGGTCACAGGTGTTCAGCTGCAGGTTCTGACAAAAACTTGGTTACTGTGAGAAAAATTACAGGTATCTGCTCCATCCCATGTGCAGCATAGTGTTCAGCTCCTGAAAGGGAAGGTACTTCCCTTAATTGCTTCCCTGATTCCAGGGGAGCTGTGGAATAGCCAAACACTTCCTTGTGCCCTGGGGCTGTTTCTTCCAGCCCAGATTTACAGCAGGACTGGCTGCTCCTTGCAGAAAAGTGTGTTTCCTGGGGAATTAGTCACAGAGAAGCTGCTCCACACTTGTCCTGCTGCTGCAGCAATGCACTTACTGCAAATCAAACTCCAAGTCTGCAGCAGGAAACGGACAGGACACAGTCTGGCTTCTCCATTCCCAGAGTGGTGGAGAATTGCCTGTGCTCCTGCAGTGACAGGCCCTTCCAATGCCACTTGGAGCAGGACACACGAACCCTGACTGTGTCAGGTCTGACACACATTTCCTACCTTGACTTCTTTGACATTGGGGTTCCAGTCTCCCATCTGCTCCATCTTGTCCACCAGCTCTCCATACACCGCATCCAGGGGCTGGTCCACCACCACCTCCAGCCGGAACACCTTCCCCACATCTGGCAGCACCTTGCTCAGCACTCTGTCTCCGTTTCCCTGGAGAGGGAACAGCAGGATTAACACCATTAGCACCACAGCTATTTACAGGAGCGGTGTCAGTGCCACAGGGCAGAGCACTCACCGCCACTGTCTCTGTCTTCCAGCCATCCTGGTCCTCCAGGATTCTGAGGGATTTCTGCAGGGCTTCCTCTCCTTGCTTGACGTAAGACATTTCCATCTCGCTGAAGGACTTCTCCTCCAGCCTCGAGCCTGCTCAGAACCAGAAAATGGCAGGAGTGAGTGCAAGAACACTGCACAGCTATCACATTCTTTATCTTCATATGACACCCTTCCCCGTGCCCAAAGACCGGGGAATTAAACTCCATTCCCTCTGTGCCTTTAGTTCAGCAGAAGCACAGCCCATCCATGAGCAGGTTTTCCCCCAGCCACTCCCCAGAGCCCCAACCCGTGATGGTCACCCCCAGCAGGAAGGGTCAGACGCCCCTGAGCTGGTCACTTACTGAGCAAGGAGCTCCTCCTGCGCACCTGGTGGATCCAGGTGCTGGGTCCCGGGCTGCGGCAGGCCAGTCTGCTCAGCTCCTGGCTGATGGCCACAGCGGCTTGTCTCCTCAGACCTGGGGGCAGAGAGCACATCACCTGCCTGCACTGCACTGTGTGGGGCTTACCATAGGCTTCTTTCCCTCAGCTTAAACATACAATATGGAAAAGCCTCTGCTTGTCACCTTCACTGAGTCCCTATGGGCACTGGGAGCAGCTGACTGGGACAGAGGCTGTCCTAAACAATCCCAGACTTGGCTCCATGTCTGAGCCATGCAGTGGTAAAAATACTGAGGAGCATCTTGCAGGTGCCCAGAGAAGAGCATAGAGGTGGAGCACGCGGATACAAAACCCTCACAGCCAGGGAAAGTGTGACCCAGAGCTGGTCACAGGGGCACATGCCATCCCCTCAGACCCCAGCGATGCCTCTGGCAGCAAAACGGGTCGTGGGACAGTAAATCACAAACCTCAATGTGCTATGGGGGAGAGAGCATCCCTGAGCCCCCAGACTTCTCAGAGAAGCTTAGAAAGCAAGGGAGGGTCCTTTCTGCACCTTGTGACCCAACAGGAGCTTCTCTAATAAACTTTTGTCTGAAGCTCCCACTCTGCCCAGGACAGTGGGGCAGAATCCCCCAACCCCGTCCCACCCCAGACAGCCCTGAGAGAGGCTCCCCCAGCCCAGCACGGCCCCTCACCAGTCATGTTGCGCAGGTGGCGGTAG